ATATTTTAATTGCAAATATTTTACCAATTGCTTCTTTAAAAACATTAGGGAACTTGCTATACTCTACCAATCAAGCCCAGTGACACTCCATTTATTTTCCATCACTCGAACACTGAAAAGTAAAAAGATATATGAAATCAGATCCATTAAATTCTAAGATTTGATTTACATTTCTAATTAAAATTGTTTTTGATCATACTTATAGATAATTATATAAAAATTCCAAAATTCTAAAATTTCAAATACATACAAAAACAATCATATGTAAATTTTAAATTTGTGAATATTAATATTTTATATTTTAATTACATATATTCACCATGCGCAAGGCGCAGGTCTTATCCTAGTGATCTAATACAAGAAGACCAGTTTTCTTAATTCCAGTTTAATATTTTGGGGTATAGAATATTATTCTGTAACCTAAAATTTTACAGAATAAAATTTATATTATATGGATTTAAAAATATATCTAATATTTAAAAATACTATATGGATTTGAAAATCTGTATATTTTCAAGTTATATTTAAAGTTTACTGGTTTATATATTTTAACAAATCCAAGTAAAATATAGAGATTTTCAAATCTAACATATGAATTTCAATTAATAGTTATAAATTTAGAGTTGTTGCGGATTTGAGTCTTTGTATTTTTTACAAATAAATCTATTTAAGTTCATTATGAAATCAAAATCATTAGTAAATCCATATGATTAAATAACATTTGATTTGAATTAGAATTTATGGGTTCAATAGAGATTTTAAAATCACTATATTTAATTTGGATTTTTAAATCCATTAAAATACACTAGCCAATAACCTCCACTTAGAGAGATTCAAAGATTTTAAATTTTTTTTTTTTTTAAACTTGTTCTGTGTGTCATCTTTATACGTATAAAAAAAACAGCATAAAGTTAATAGAATGAGAAAGAGAACACTGTAAGCAGATGACAAAATAATCCCCAATTTTATATGAGAAGAGGCTGTTTGTGCTTAAAATTAAGTTCAGTGCCTATATATTTTATGTTTTGGAGTAAACGGTGAAGGTTTTTTGGTCTAGGATAGTTCAGTTTTAGAAGATAAATGTGTTTTTGTCAGCTAATTCCATATCCTAGATTAAGCGGATTCAGTTCGAAGAATGCCCTGAAGAGTTGATGAATTCAAATGTATCTGATTTACATGGTAAAACAGCAGTCTCGTGTTCGGACTTAGAATATTGTATAAGTAAGGAAGGTGTTTTAAAGACTATTTTGGTAACAAAATAACTTAGCTGCTAAATACAAATGTATATAATGAATTTTCATTCTCTAACAAAGAAAACGCAACTGAATATGAATTTACTTAAAATCCAGATCAGTTGTTCAAGAACTGTAAAAAGAGTAGCATTCAAAATGAAACGCTTGGTGTATTTTTACTACTTATCAACTCACAACCTAGTGGATCTAATGCAAAATAGAAGCTGTGAGAGCTCCTTTAACTTGACAAGAGTAGCAGTTTTGATAAACAATATGCAGTAGGATCATCCTTTTTATATCACCTTAATACATATTATCTACCTTATCCGAGTTTTATTTTGATTTCCTTTCAAGAAAGTATATAGTATATTTGTGTCTTCAAAAAACTTACTTAATGGACTTGTTATATCCATCCATACATAGAGTTTGTACTACTTGCCATTGTAAGAGATAGATCTCTTCAAGAAACTTGACCTCCCAACAACAGAAGATCCAACATTGCCTCTCTTCACCTTCTCTTTTCCTCTACCAGCAACAACAACTTCACTTACCCTTAAACCCGAAAGCGAGCTCAAAGACACTGACCTTCTCACTCGCTGCTGCCACTTATCTTCTTCTTCTTCATCACTAACAACAATACTATAAAACTCGTCAGCTTCTTCCTCCTCATCACCTCTCTCGGTTTCTTCATTGAGTTCTCCACTTTCCTCTTCTGGAATCCTCACAAGGATCTCCTCAACATTGTCACCACCATCATCACTTACCGCGACAACAGGAGCACGACAAACCGGACAATTGGTGTGTGATCTAAGCCAAGTATCAATACAAGGAACATGAAAAGCATGTCTACACTTTGGTAACAATCTAAGCGTCTCTTCTTCTTCAAACTCGCTTAAACAAACCGAACAGTCTGTTCCTTCCACAACACCATCTGTTTTACTATACTTACACACTTTGATCGAGCTTATAACCGTTGGATTCAAACCAATGGTTCTTATATGCCAAACCGGATGATCAACAATAACCGGTTGTGACGGTCCATTAAAATCCCAGTTTCTAGCTTCCTCCATGCTCCATCTTCTTGATAATGCTATAGACCTTCTCCTGTTGTACCACTTGAAACAGAGAACGAGTAGAGTAAGGAGAAACAGAGTTGTGATGATAGAAGAAGTTGAGATGATCAAGATCCTCTTTAGGTGTTCGTCTATGTAGTGGTGAATCACCGGAGGTGGAGAAAGATCCGTAACATCGACGGTCCTGCTCCTGCAGTAGGAAGGGCAGAGGCTAAGACAAATGGGTCCACACGGTCCTGAATCTGAAAGCTCTTTCAGGCAACTCGGAGATTCACAGAGCGGGACGTTGGTCATATCCTCCGACAGAAACCTGTGAAGGATGGTCATGATTCTTGCTTCAAGACCATCAAGAAGCTAGAGAGAGACGAGAGGTAAAAGAGAAATAGATGATGAGAGTCTTTGTTCTCTCTTTTGCTTTCTTTCTTTAGAATCAAGTTTAGTCAAGAAAAGTAGGTTGGAAGGTATCTATCATCTTAATTTCACGAGATAATTTATTTCATTTTGTGTAATCAATTTCAAAAGTACACGTTAACAGAAAAGAAACAAAAAACCATATCTTTAAGTCAACTAAACAAAACAAAATAGTTTACAAAAAAATATCAAAAATAAAATTTTAATCATTAAATGTTTGTGAAAACTCTTAATCCAATAGTTTGACTAATGATTTATTATTACTTATACACCAAATGTTTAGGTTTCATATTTTAAAGAATGTAAATTATGCAAATTAATTAAAAATGATTTACAATTTTTTTTTGCATATTATCAAAAGTAACTTCAGAAGTGGATCACATAAATATCTAAAATATATAATTAGATGTAAATATTCATAAGAAAGAATCGGTAAAATTTTTTAAGAAGAAAAAATTGGTAGAATTATCAGCGAGAAAATTAGCTATGCAATAGTTATTTATTGTAACAGGAAAGATGTTTCTTCTTAAAAAAAAAAAAAGATTAGCTATACAAAAGTTTTTTTTTAATTTTAAACTAGATTTTGACCCGCGCAACCGCGCGGGTGTTTGCTTTCGTTTATAGTTAGTTATATAAACATTTTTTTCAATTGTAAATTGGTATATATTATAGTATTCACATATTTACTATATGTATAGTAAATATTTTTCAAACATAATAATATTATATAATACGTGTTTTAATCAAATAGATTGTTTCAAATTTTCTATATTATACATGTTTTTCAAACATGTATTTGTTTCTTCTTCTATATTTTATTATTTGTTAGATTAGTATTTCATTTTTAGATAAAGTAATATAAATAGAGCTTAATTAAATATTAGTATACTTTAATTTGCAAAGATAATATAAACTTCGAAGAAATTTTTGATAAAAACTAAACTTATAGCTTCATAAATTAATATTATAAAAAAATATTAAAAATATTTTTTTAAAACAATTTCTTTTTTAAAATAATAGAATTTTAAAAATTTACATCGAAATAAATTTATCTAGTATATATAGAGTGCAAATTTTGTTAGGGTTTTATATTACGAATCTGTGATTTTTGTTAATATATTATGGATGCATTTAACTATTATTGACATATTTCCTTATAAATAATAGAAGATTCCTAAACTTATATCTATTGACATATTTTGCGTGATTAAGTTGGAAGGTGTGGAGGTAATTTACCAAAACCAAATTGTTAAATGTAACTTTGTTATTATAGATATGATTTTTCATAAGATATAATAATGATAAGATTATTAAAGAGTTAATATAACATGGATTTCTAGTAATAGTCCATTTTAAAAAAAATCACACATGAAGTCAAGTCATGACTTCTGTTTTAATATATAAGATACCTTGATAAAGGAAAAAATTGGAAAACAAGTATATACATCCTCACGAAGTCGGCGTAATACTAAATTGTATCGATTATGGTTTGGCTGTGTTAGGGATAGTTGTTGACTTATCTGGCTATCCGCGTATTGCGTGGTTTTTGTATAATGACGCTTATTTTTTGTTAAAAACTTGGCAAAATGTCTTTGACTAAAATTATTGTAAGTAATTGGTGGAAAATAGTTAGGGCAGACTCTGAGATTTCGAGGATTTAAAGTGATATTTAACGAATTCAATTAATTTATTTTTGTTGGATTTAGGGACTTAAACTTTTTTTACAGAGTCTATGTATATGTAACTTTTTTTAAAGAGTTTAGAGATCCAAGACAAATGTTTCATCTGACTTGGTGTAGGACCAGCCTTGAATTCAGAGGTCCAAGAATTTAGTGATATTATCTGTGGACACCATTAAAGTGGCATATTCCTGGCTAGTTCCCACCACACAACAAACCGCGTCCACTACTTGATTTTTGTCTGTCAATATCTTTGGACTTTATGAATAAACCCGGCTATATACAAAAAGAATTACATAAGAGATTTATTATTAGAAAACAATTCTGGTTTTGTAAATTAGTATCTTAGCAAAAATTAAGATTCAAAGCAATCCGGTTTTATCAATTGTGAGACACAAGGATTCTCGGTCGGTTGTACACACATGTAACATGTGATGCAAAAGTTAAGATTCTTTGTGGTGCATTATAAACCGAGATAGAGCCTTTTTTTAATTGAGCACCGGTTTGTTCTGGTCATATGTCCCAATATTATAATCAAACTTATTGTGTGAGAGTGTACATGTGTAAGACGATTCCCAAACATGTAATTAATTAGGTTTTGGAGGGTATATACTTTTCGAGCGCCCTTGAACTTGTAACTTCACATATTTCTACTGAATAATCTTATGAATTTAACCAATAGACCAACTCATCGGCCAATTACTTTCAGAATTGATAAAATTTGTTTGAAGCGTATGAATGTTTGAACAATATGGTGCGCCTAGTTAAGCTTATATGGCTAAAAAGTCATTTAGAGACGTACATTGGAATACGAACATGAATACAAGAATACAATGTGAGATTTAAAATCTAACGGTAGTGGGACCAAAGCAGCTAAGTCCCATAGCTTTCTCAAAGGATGTGGTCATGTGCTGTTTGGATCTGATGATATCAGCCGAATTAGAAGAAGACGCAGGAGGAGGAGCAGAGAAGCGAGATGGGATAGTGATGGTACGGACGCGAGCCATGACATTTTTGTGGAGTAAACGGAGAGGGTAGTTCCAGCGAGCAACGCCTTGGTCCTTGAGCACTTCCACCACTGCGATCACAGTCGCCACCGTCCATGAAGCTTGCTTTCCGGCGTTCATCTTTTTGTATACCTCTTTTAGTTAACAGTGTATTTTCTTTATCTCTGGAAAACTGATGTGTTTGTAGGTTTGGTGGAGGACTGTGTTTATAAAGGTGAGAACCGAGAAAGTGATACATAACGTAAACCAGAGGCTGAAGACGCCACAAGTATTAAGTTACAAAAAAGAAGCCGCCAGTTTTGTTATAATCGGGGAGCTCGTGGTTTTGTTACTACTTTATGTCCAACGAAAAATGTTACCTGTGGGCTTGGTTTTAGTTTACTATTTACTCTCTCTTTTTAATCTGTCATAGAGTAATTAAGTAATTCATGATATGTACTATAATGTTACTAAGAGTGATGGAGTGTAAATTTAAACCTATTACTAGATTTTGACCCGCGCTTGAGAAACGCGGGTTTTATTTTATTTCGATTATAACAAAATGTATAAAATGATCCGATTTCTATTATATGATAGTCTTATATGCGAAATTTGATGTATATTTAACGTTTTAGTTAGGTCTTTTCATTGAGTTTTGCATAACCGAGTCAGTTTGTGGTTGAACACAGAATCAGAAAATTAAGTGTTGTGAGAGTTTGAAGAATTAAAACACATATTAGATTGAAACCAAAATTGGATGGGTCCATGACCTATAATAAATTTGAAAAATCAATACTATTAAAAATACCCAAAATTGTATTAAAAATTTATAGTTAACTCCAATAAATATGTTAATCGAATTATATAGTTTATTTATGTTTCGGCAATTTTTTTTTGACCCGCGCTTGAGAAATTTATAATAGGTAGGGAGATTAGCTTTATACTAAACTTCAACTTATTCTTTTGTTCCCACCACGAGACTAAACTTCAACTTTTTCTTTTGTTTCCCACCACTACACCCTATGGTTTCCGGTTCACCCAAGTCTTGAACTTGTCCAATAACATCTAGATAAAAATATACTCGTGTTAGATAGATACACAACAATGGAGATAATTTATAAAAATGAGAGAAAACTGACCAATAAGAAAATTAATAACATTTATGATTCAAAATAATATAGTTTTAGAAATAGAAGAATTATTCCATAAATATAGGGAAGAATATTATCATTTAGGTTTTGACCCGCGCTTAGAAAACATTATCATTTAGGTTACACTTTTACAAAATGAAAATATCTAAATCATAAATTTATACAAAACGATAAACTTACATTTGCATCACAAAGGATTAGTTCCATGGTCTCCCCTATGTGTTTCATGAAATGTCTCTATGTATGAAAGATTTTGATTTGGATGCGACATGCAGACTTCCTCGGTTTTATATCGTTCAAGAAAGACAACTGCAAATTATTCGCCATTTTTGTTATAAGTTTTTCAATGAATGATGAATATAGTGATTAAAAGAGGCTATATTTATAATAGGTATGGACGATATACATTTAGGTTACGCAAATGTAGGAAAGAATATTTAGACGATTTTAATAAATATCTCTTTCGAGGAATAAGGAATATTTCTTGAAGATATTTTGAATTAGTTAAGAAATTTAAATTTTAACAGTTAATGGTAATACAACTACGGTAAGTTACCGAAATTTATGGAATCCAAACAAAGAATAATTAACCACGATATTGATTGTGGTTAATTTATAAATTTGTAGATGAAGCAATTCATTTATTTTAGTACGAAATAATTATAGAAAATAGTTTTTGCAATATTTTCTTAACAAAACGTATCTCGTCCATTGAATGTCACCATGAGAATGATGATATATCGACATATGAAGAAAAGTTAATACGAAAATATTTGAAATTATCTTGCATATAACAAATTTAGTTAGTATTCAATAACAATCTTAATATATTATTTAAATATTTTCAAAATCAGATATCAAATATATTACCAAGATCTTTTCTAATATTGCATTTTGACAATATCTTTTAATATATTTTTCAGTAAATATAAATATTTATTGTTTTAATAATTATTTTAAATAATAGAATGTAATTACTTTTAAATATTATTACAATTAATTTTAATTCATTTGGATTTATTAAATAAGAAATACCATTACTATAATATTTATAAATACATTATTCATATTCATAATTAAATTACTACAATAAATAATATATATAATAACTTAATTAAAATTATTTTATAAACTATAAATTAAAAGAATTACATATTCATGACAACATATATTTATAGAGTTTACAACATACTTCAATTTATTAATGCAAAATATTACAATATATATTAAAAGAATAAAAAATTATATTTAATATAATATCTAAATTACTATATTAAAATATAATTTAGTATATATATTTGATAAAAACAATATTATTTTTTTTTTATTATACAGTATATTGAATTATATATTATGATTTACAATTACAATTTATTTTATAAAGATGTAAACATTTATAAGTATTTGAGCATCTAAACATCTTATAATTAATTTATATTATAATAAATATTTATATAGTCAATCTATAGATTGAAACCGTGTAATATAAAATTTATAAGACAATATAAATGTATGAAATATAATATGAAATATGGTTAGTGTAATTAATGGGAAGAAAGAGAATAAATCGGATATATTTGATATGTGATATGATTTGTAACAATTGATATATATATATATATATAGATGTAAGACCAAAAAATAAATTACCAAATGACATTAGTGAGGTTGTAGACAACTTTCATCAATCGATTTTATTTTTCAAGGGTAACTTTACTTTTAATAGTATAGATTTAAAGTTTAACAAAACAGGAATTACTAGGATTAAATATAAAAAAACATGAATCAAAAATTTAAAACAAAGCGGCGTATTAAATTATATACTTGAGATGATTTTAGCTCAACTAAAACAAAATTGCAATGATTTTTTAACACTTCAAAATATCATACATATATATATATATATATATATATATATATAACTAGACGCAGCTGATTTGGAATTGCTTAATGTGTTGCTAAAACCATTTCTAATCCACCTTTATTTTCTTCTTTATATTTTTCATATGGCTAGGCGGTCATTTTGACTAAGTTTTCGAACATCGGTTTAAAGAACTCTGCCAAAATATTTCATTATAATCTTCGATTTTAAAATATATTTTGAATGTCCGTAAATTTAAAATATATTTTTTAAAAATCAATAATATTAATTTTTTTAAAAATATAAATACATGTTTAACATAAATTTTGTTGTTAAAAATAATTGTTTTAATAAAAGAAAATTTAAATTTCACATAAAATACATCCCCAAAGTAAATAGTGTCATCAAAGTAGAAGGTCTCGTAGACCGTAGTGAATTCAGAATCATATAAAACGAATGATATAGTTAAACTTATATAGTCAAATTCAATGTTAATCAAAATACTGTAAGATGAATAGTTATTCAAAAAAAAAAACCTGATAAAACCTGCAAAACGTCACGGAGTTTAAAAACCTGATAAAGCCTGCAAAGAGTAAACAACAAGTAAAGGTTTTAATCATCAAATTGGAAAAGAAGAAACTAAACTTGGAGTTGTTTATGTTAATATATGTGGTCTTCCCTGTTCAATGCAATAGCAACTTTCTTCAAGATAACTTCAACACTTTGGTGTGAATTCTCCACAGCTTTGGAAACAGCTTGCCATTTCTCACCATGCTTTGGCTCAGAGACCACACACTTGTTCAAAACCTCCTTTTGTTTCTCCTCGGAGCCATGTTGAACCTCAAATTTGTAATACAACGCCCAGAAATCTCCGTTATCCGGGTCAAGTTTCACGGTACGTTCAAACCACGTTCTAGCTTTATCCACTTTCCTTTCTCTCCAAAATATTTTAGCAACCGATGCAGTAACATACGCTTCTTTAACACAATTCTTCTTTAACGCATCCTTGATCTTGATCTTCGGGAGAGGACACTGCGGCGCCATTTCGATATCAGCAGCTAAGAGGATACCACTTTTAGGAAGCTCTTGAAGTGCCTTTGACATTAACCTCTCTGCTTCTTTCTTGTTTTCATGTCTGAGTTCAATACGAATCGCGGCTAACCAAAGCTCGTCTTCTTTCGGATACTTTTTTCTAGCGTTTGTGAGAATGGCTCTAGCTTTGTTGAGTCCATTCAGTTTCTTCTCTTCAAGCTCAGCTAGTGAGAGACACAATGGTATACACTGAGGACAATGATCCAAACCAGACGAATAAACTATCTTGGCTTGTACTAGATGGTTTAACCTTTCTTCGAGCTGTCCAAGCATTAGCCAAAGCTTAAAGAACTTCGGGAACAGCTTCACGCCTTCTTCAAGCAATCGTTTCTCTTCTTCCACGTTGCCTAATTCCCTCTCAAGAATCGCTGATTTCATCCATACTCTCCCGGCTCCTCCTCTTTCTCTTGCTTTCCTTAGAATCATCCTCGCTCTTTCCATTTCTTTATTCTCAAACTCAAGCTTGAAAGCAGCGAGCCAGATTTCCTCAGAGTTTGGAACCGCGGCATGAGCTTCTTGTAAAATAACCCGAGCCGCGGAAACATCTCCAGCTAGCCACTTCTCTTTAGCACCCATTAGCCAAAGAACCTCAACTTGAGGTAAGTACAAGACAGCTTTACGCAGTACTGCGTCAAGAGACTCTCTACTCCCATGGCTTCTCTCAAGATTCGCCGCGTTATACCAAATACTCTTCTTAGTCAAGAAAACAGTAAGAGCATGCGCGTAAATAGCTCTTGCAGTCTCTATGGAACTCCTCTTCTTACATTCCTCTGCATCAACAACCCAAGTTCTCTTCCTATCTGCTTCCTCAACGTCAAAACCAATAACATTCTCAATAATCGCCTTGCAGGTCGCAACAGCTCCGGTTCTCTCACAGGCCTCAGCTTCTTCTATCCACTCTTCGCGGTTAATAACAACACCTTCTCTCTGCAAAGCTTTCAAAGCTTTCTCAATAACCGTTCCCACTTTATCCGTGTTCCCACTAGCCTCCTCTACCTTAGCTGCACTAATCCAAATCCCGCGCTCTCTAGGAAGCTCTATCCTCGCTTTATTCAACAGTTTCTTCGTATTCTCATACGTTTCAAGCCTCGCAAGCGCTAACCATAGTTCTACATTCAAAGGACAACACTCCACAGCTCTATGAAGCAAAACAACCGCATCTTCTTCGTTAACCATATCAACAAGAGTCTTCCATAACCTAACTGAATCCGGAACATTCTCCAAACCTCTCCGCAACACTAAACTCTTCCTCACATCATCCTCCAGCTTCGAAGCCTCTAACCATAGCTTCACAGAGTTCGGTATCTGCTTAACTCCTCTCGCAATCACCGCCTTCTTGTCCTCTGGTTTAGCCAATCTACAAGCTTCAATCCAAACATCTTCATCTTTCGGACACTCGCTACATCCTTTCTGAATCAGAGCCCTAGCGACTCTCAACTTCCCTGCTCTCTCTTCCAACCTAGCAGCAGCAATCCAACCGTTAGGATTCTTCGGATTCGACATTGTTACACTCTTTAACAAAACTCTACTTCTACTGATATTAAACAAATCATCATTAAGAACCTCCACTTCATGATTCCTCAACTCCGTTAAGTATCCTTTCGGATCAACAACGGTTTTCCCGGAAAACGAATCAGACAACTCATCAAGCTTCAAAGACAACAATGTACCTCTTCCTTCACCTACAGCAGTCAAATCTAACGCCGCCTTATCCAAAATAACCGAATCAGGAACCGGCACGAAGCTCGCAAACCTCTTCTTCTTCTTCTGACGCGAGTAATTCGCAGTTTCCGGGATACTATCCCATTCTTCAGCAGACACTGTATGCAGTGTCCTCTTCAAATCCGTAAACTGCTCGCGGATTTTCGGATTCGAAGGCTCTTCTTTATGTTCTTCCCTTCTCAAATTCATTCTCTTATCAATACCTTCCCATATAGCATCAGCTTCTTTGTCCTCCTCCTCGTCAAAAACGGAATCCGCGAACAATCCGGCGTCGTTCCCTTCGAATTCATCAAACTTGTGATCATTCTCCATCTTTTCATCAGTTTCGTTTATCGACTTCCCTGGCGTAGCGGATCCGATATCGGATCGGGTTATGAATCCGGTAGCTCCACGGCCTAAACCTGCAACGTAGTTCGCAGGAGGCTTTGAATCGAATCGTGATCCACCGCCGAACAGAGGGATGTGAAGATATACTGTAGAGAAAGGACCAAATCCAAGATCGGATAACGTATCATCATCATGAAGGTTAGGGTTTCGGAGACGGAGGGAGTAGCGAAGGAGAGATTGAGGAAGATGAGTGCGTTGGTGGATCAATTGTGAGAAGGCGGAGGCTGTGGTTGAATTAGGGTTCACGTTGATCGATAAGGTCTTCTCGTTCGGAGTCGAGAGGAAAACCATCTTTTGATTTGTTAGAAGAAGACTCGGTATCGTGATTTCTTATTAAAACAAAATTAAAGCGTCCAGCACAAGGGAAGGCCTATATATAGACCTAAGAGCAAAATAAAATAGCATTCTAAAACGTGGTGGACAAGGTAACAAAAAATAAATAAATAACCAAAAGCACCTATCTATCTATTCATAATAACAATCTAATTTAATGTTGAAATGTTGTATTTTTAATAAAAAATGAAATATATTATTTTAAAATTTCTATGTTTTTATTATAAAAAGTTGTGTTTTTTTCAAAAAAAAATTTATTAGCTTTAAAAGTTGCATCATTTCATTATAAGAAATCAATTAGTTTAACACTTAGTTAAAATAAGTTTTAAAATTTCTCTCCTTGTTATAAAAGATATACTAATTAAAAAACTTAATTAATGTTTCAAATTGTGTCTTTTCATAAAAAAAATAACTGAAATGTATAAGTTTTAAAAGTTTGTGTCTTTACATTGTTAAAAAAAATGTCTTTTCATTATAAACTGAACTCTATTAGTTTAAGAGTTGTGTTTCTTCATTACAAATAAAATTATTTATTTTTCATAAAAATTAAACTCTATTTATTTGTATATTCTCATTGTAAAAAAAATTAATATCTATGAATAATAAGAATATCATTTAATGTTGAAAGATTTTATATTTTCATAAAAACTGAAATATATTAGTTTAAAAGTTGTATCTTTTCATCATAAGAAAAGTTTTGTCTTTTCAATAAAAAATATTAAACTCTATCAGTTTTAAAAGTTGTATATTTTCATTATAAAAAATAAATTAGATTAACAAGTAGTTAAAATAGGTTTTAAGAGTATGTTTTAAGAGTTGTATATTTTCACTACAGAAATAAATTAGTTTAAAAAGTAGTTAAAATATCCTAGTAAGTGTCTTAAGATTCTCATTATAACAAAAAAAATAATCATAAAAATCTTAGTTAATGTTAAAAATTGTGTCTTTTCATAAAAAGACTGAACGGTATTAGTTTTAAAAGTTGTGATTTTTGTGGGAGTCGATTTCACCCTATTGTCAAATAAATTGTAAATAAGGAAACTTCGGGAAAACCCTAAGTTTCCAGAGGAACCGGCTATCTGCGAGAACCGCACAACAAAGATTAAGATGACGAGAACACTTAGAATTAAAACGAAAATAAGCGAGATTGAAAGCAAGAAGGTTCTTATTCCGAATCTGCGTTGAACTGGTACAAAGAGAGCAGCCGAAAACGTAAGAACTAGAAAACCCTAATTGAGACGCAGCTCGCTAACAGAAAAACGGAAAGATTCCTAAATGCTAGTTTTGGTGGTGAGAGCTCTGAATTTCGTGTGTATGCTTCTGCCCTAGACCTCCTCTTTATATACTCCTTCTCTTGGCTATCCGATCTTTCCATTTCGCCCAGATTTGACTAAATCGGGAATTTTCCATTCTTCTCGATCCTTCCTTTTCTTCTGCGGAAATCTTCTATTTCTCTTCAAACCTTCCTTTTATCTTTAAACTTGACTTTTATTTTCCTTCTGCGAGTAAACCGTCAAAACGTTATCAAATCTGCGGGTTTGATTCCGTTGANGGCTATCCGATCTTTCCATTTCGCCCAGATTTGACTAAATCGGGAATTTTCCATTCTTCTCGATCCTTCCTTTTCTTCTGCGGAAATCTTCTATTTCTCTTCAAACCTTCCTTTTATCTTTAAACTTGACTTTTATTTTCCTTCTGCGAGTAAACCGTCAAAACGTTATCAAATCTGCGGGTTTGATTCCGTTGAAATCACGAGATGGGTTTTTATCGCGTTTTAGATCCTTCCGGGCCGTTTTGCGATAAAAACCGTTTTCCGACTTTTACGGGATCGTTTTCCGATCTAACGTCGTTTTTAATAAATTTCTCGAGTTAATCGCAAAGTTTTACGATTTACTCGACTTTTTATTAAAAACACGTTTTTTATGACTTACTCGGCATTTTTTATTAAAAGCGCGTTTTTTATGATTTCAACGAGAAATCTCGAATAAATCGTATAGTTTAGGCAATGTTAGGTGTTTCGTTTAACCGTTGCCGTTTTATACGATTTTCTCGAGTTCTTTCCGAGAAAACGAAGTTTTACGGTTTTTATCGTAAAACTTGAACGGTAAGTCGGATCGAGATGGAACGGGAGGTATTTCGGCCGTGGTTTAGAACGCGACCTTGTCGAAAGACGTAAGTTTCGAATCGGGAATGCGGGAAATCGAGACGCGGAGTGTCCGGGACGTCTCTAGTTCGCCCATCGGCGAACTAAGCCGGTCCGGCTTAGTTCGCCGATGGGCGAACTAGTCGGGTATGTCCTAGTTCGCCCATCGGCGAACTAAGCCGGGCCGGCTTAGTTCGCCGATGGGCGAACTAGTTGATCACTTCCTAGTTCGCCCATCGGCGAACTAAGCCGGGCCCGGCTTAGTTCGCTGATGGGCGAACTAGAGAGTGTCTCTTAGTTCGCCCATCGGCGAACTAAGCCGGGCCCGGCTTAGTTCGCCGATGGGCGAACTAGAGTATGCTTCTTAGTTCGCCCATCGGCGAACTAAGCCGGTCCCGGCTTAGTTCGCCGATGGGCGAACTAGTTGCGACTAGTTCGCGTTTTACGGCTTTTTCGATTTTTTGCGGTTTTGTAAAACGATTCTCGAGTTTTATAAAACGATTTCTCGAGTTTTATAAAACGATTCTCGAGTTTTATAAAACGATTTCTCGAGTTTTATAAAACGATTCTCGAGCTTTATAAAAAGATTTCTCGAGTTTTATAAAACGATTTTCGAGTTTTATAAAACAGTCTACGAGTTCTATAAATGACTTTGAGTTTTATAAAACTAGTCCTCGGGTTTTATAAAACTGCTCTTTTTGTATTTTCGCGGGGAGTTTTGGCTATTAATTCCGTCGTACCGATTTTGACCCCAACAGTTAGCCCCCCAGCTCGTAAGAATCGTGAGCCTTTAGCATAAGGTTCTTGCGAGTGGTTAACTAGTTTTAGTTAAGTTAGGCGGAATTAATGGTCGGAAAGGTCCGTTGAAAGTGATCTTTCCACTCTCCACGGAGCGGAAAGCGTTTAAGATTAGGGCTGCGCCTTGTGAATGCTGCCTACGTACCCTTTTGAGGGGATCAAGCCTTTCGTAGTTCATTTCGGAGTTAAGGTTCGTATGACCTGTTTCCCTGCAAAACCTTTACGGTCTAGTTATATGTTTATCGAGCATATTGATGTTGATGGCATCTCGACCTTTGCCGGCCTTGAGACTAGCCTCGTAGGCCGTCTGGTCTGGCTGAGCGTGGCCGTTTATAGTTTTCGGACTGGCCGTGTGCGGCTCTGAGTCCCTGCCGCTTTTGCGGCTTTATTAAAAATCAGTTTGCGTTTTTAAGAGCGTGCTTTTATTCGTATGAATGTAGCTTAAGCCATTACCGAGTTTTATAAAACGATTCTTCGAGTTTTATAAAACGATTCTTCGAGTTTTATAAAACGATTCTTCGAGTTTTATAAAACGATTCTCGAGTTTTATAAAACGATTCTCGAGTTTTATAAAACGATTCTCGAGTTTTATAAAACGATTCTCGAGTTTTATAAAACGATTCTCGAGTTTTATAAAACGATTCTCGAGTTT